AGAAACGTTGGAAATTTTAAAGTTTGTATATATTAAATAAGAAAGATATGCTTTGTGATGTCAGCAGAAGATGACATATTCCTCGCAGAAGCTTCGCCGGCAATAGCCGACCGTGGAAAATAGTAGAAAATTACTTTATGTGTACTATAAGAACAACATATCGTTAACTATGTGTGACTTTTCTAAGGGGGGGGGGGGTCTCCAGAGAAACGAACATATGACGTTTCTCGTGGACAAAATCGATATGTGAGGCTTCCCTAATAAATAAATCTTTTGATATGAGGAAAGCTTGTTTTGAAATGGTTGTTTCAGGAAGTAAGTTAAGATGAGTGACGTACTTGAAGATTCTTTTGAATACATTGATAATTAATGGATATTTTCCAAGTTCGCTTCTTGAGGCGATGTTATTCGTCTTTCTGCCAACGCCCAAGTAGAGCTTACAGAATTTTAGGTGTACTTTTTCAACCGGCAGTTTATCCCAATTGTTAAAATCGTTTTTGATATATACACCCCAAACTTCTGCATTGTACAGAAGAATGGGGCTTATTATGCTGTCGAAAATTTTAATAGCAGATTTATGGTTAAGTTGGTGTAGGTTGAGCCGTCTTCTGATGCTATAGAGCGCATGCAGGGCTTTTTCACTCAGCTGTTTGATAGCCAAGGCAAAGTTACCGTCGTGATTAAGCTTTATGCCTAGGTAACAGTATTCCTATACAACGGATATCTTTTCATTTCCTAGTGTGAAAATGGGTTTCGCTTTTTTTGTTTTCCTTCGTTCAAAAATCATAATTTGGGTTTTCTTTAGGTTTACCTCCATTAGCCACTTCTTATTCCAGCTATGGAGTTTATCCAGACACTTCTGGAGGCCGAATTTTGATTTAACTAGCATAATTAGATCATCTGCGTAAAGAAGACAGCTCAGTTCTGTTCCGTTAGGCAGTGTAAGTGGGTCCGAATTGGTGTTTTTAAATAAGGTACGGTTGTTATTTCATTAATATGAATATTGAAAAGAAGGGAGATTAGTACACATCCTTGACGTACACCTTTAGAATAAATGAAAAAATCGGTTCTGATGTAGTTTTGTTTGATAACATGCACATTTCGAGTTAGAATAAAGACTCTTCTCAATTCGATCCGCCAATATTAATTTCCGACGTATATGACGGGAAGATTTAATATTAAACAACTCCGCGAGTATTTGCAGTAGAAATACGAAAATACCAGCAAAAAATTCCGCTTGACCGATACTATACTTTGAAATATTCGTATAATTTTATTGTTTCTCGCTCAATTTAGAGTGAATTTCTTACCTTGAAACGATAACTGTGGTGAAATTTATGCAAATGACACATTACCAATTTCGCTGTCGCATCGTGCGTTTTCGTGCGTGTTCAACAGCTTGTATCTTTGCTTCTTTTCAACGTACAATAAAGCCAAATATACTAAAAAAATCGCCATCTTGCATTCTATAGCTCGGAGCAGTCTCGGGAAATTGTAAGATAATCTATCGGAAAGTGTTCGGCCAACTTCGGATGCCAAATTCTTGGTAAGGTATTAAAGTTTCCTGGTAAAAGACTGCAGAAATCACTTCCGGAGTGTCTTTTTCCTCTAGGTACGGATTTTGATTGGCTTAGGCAAAAAAAAACCCTCGTATGGCAATTTTCCTTATTAGAGAGGTTAAGATACACAGGTTCCGGTTTACGGGTACGAGTATCGCCATTTTGTTTACCAATTTTTGCTGATGTCAGCATTTGTACCCGTAACTTCTACCCGTTTCCCCGCGGTAAACCATGGCCTAAACGTAAACGACAAACGGGTACGGGTGTTGTCTGTTTATTATTTATGGCCGTTTAAATAGCAAAAACTTCAACATCTTACCCAAATAAATAATTGATTAATGCACATAAACAATCTATGGCAAACCTTCACTGCGAAAGTTACCATTCTCTGATCGGTTTTCTCACGGCGGAGTATCTTGGATTTCTTAAGTTGCAAATCGTTCCCCGATTTACGGGTACGTGTATATCACCCGTACCCGTAAACCGGAACCGGGGTATCTAAACCTCTCTATTGAAAATATCGCGCACGAGCGTTGTAATGTATTGTCATATTGTAAGAATTATGGCATTTCTCAATTGTCAAGACGTTTCTTGACCTTATTTTGCAAACTGATAGTGCTAGTAACGATGGAATGTCTTCGGACAAAGAAGAGTATCTCAACCTGGCATTGGGAGTTGTGTTATTCTCCCAGATTTTTCGTAAATTCCTCTCTCTGACATGTCGAGATCCATTTTGATCAAGCTTTCACCAGAAGTATGAACTGTGGGCTTGAATTCTTTTGGCTCTTTTTCACTAAGGAAATGCTTTGGAGGTGGTTGCCCATACCAATACATATGCCCACATACAAATAACCCAAAAAATCATCCTCGTATACTAATAAAGAAGGGTCTTGACGTCCACCAACCTTGAGGAGATTGAGAGGTTGATTGCCTTTTTAGTATATGCAGGTGTGGTAAAGATCGAGAATGAGATTGAATATTATTTGAGTGTAAAAACCTTAAATCATGGTCTGTGGGCAACAGAAATAATTTCTTGGTTTAGGTACAAACCCCTTATAGCTTTTTTGAATGTGGTGGACCCTGTCACTTAAGACGCAATTAACTGCATCAACAACTGTACCAGCCGTCGCAGAATATTGCTGTTGATGAACGCATGGTCAAATCAAGGAACAGGCCAGGGATTAGGCTGTTCGTGAAAGATAAGCCTACTAAGTGAGGCCATGAGGGATAAATCTGTAGGCTGCTACAGACAGATAGATAGTTTTATTAAATGATAGTTACATTGCAGGTACTACTGAATTGCGTAACTTTACAATTATATAAAAGTCGTTCAATATAGATATAATAATACATAAGAATACTAAAATTTATCTTAATTTACGATTATGTACAGTTAAACTACTAACTTTATACAAGTATTGAAATCACCATTTCATTATATGTCATCATAAAGCTTACTACTATGCATTATGAATGACTGAGCATAGAGTTTGGTCTTTGCAGTTGGAATATTAAAAGTTCTACGTTTCCTAAAATAATATTTGGCATTGTTATTTCTCTGCGGTAGTAGAGCATGCAGTTTGTTTTTAGAGTCACTTACAATTGACCTAAAGAGTGATTAGATAAAGATTCGTGGTGATCATGTATAGATGCTAGGCCAGTTCTAATGTTTATACAGTTCTAATGGTTATACTTGCGACTTTGAGATTTATACAGGGATGAAGTCCATAGATTCATCGCAGCATAGATTTGGGTATGATGTGGTCATGTGATGTAAGTTATAGTCTTAGGTCTTTTGTGGTCCAATACATTACTTTTTTGTAACTACCAGTGGCGACGCCAGCCACTTGGTCATGCCATATGCCAATATTTTCATGTTCTAAATTGTGAAACAATCAATTTCTAAAGAAATGAGTAATTATTATTTAAAACTTGCATAGCATGACCAAATTGTCAGCCCGGCTATGCCACTGATAACTAATATAATGGTGTACTGATTATCTGCATGTATATATTAAACGTAGAAATAAAGACATTTCGCAAATAGTGATTTGAGTGTTCTTTTGTGGGTATCACAGACTTATTTTTGTGCCATACTATCCTTGGAGAGTAAGAAATATTGGAAATGTGGTGATATGTATTGATAATATGCTGCAGCAATGAAAAAGAACCTTTGAAAAGGGCACAAAAGTGTATTTCACTGCATGAAAAGCCAAGTATTCAGATGTGAATACGTGCGAATATCAATTTGAATATGATGAATATTCACACGTATTCACTGATATTCACTGCGAATATCCTCGGAATATTAGTAGTATTCAGATGTGAATACCTTAGAATAAAACGCACCTCATATTCTCACCTAGAATACGTTTGAATATTGTGTGAATATTTTTGGAGGCATAGTATTCACACTTGCGTACATTATTAAGTGATTTTGTGTCGATATTAAATAATCAAGATATTATTTTGATCAAATATGTGTAGTGATTGTGATTATATAGCTAAGTTTTGCTGAACTGCGCATCAGAGTACTTGCTTCCTATATAGTGATTCTGAAATTGTCTGGCAGTTATCGAGAATTGGGATTCTACTTGGTTGGTTGACTAAACGATTGTTTGATGACTCGACGATATTTTGGTTTTTTAATACTTCATGTCATGCTAACTTATATAAATCTGCTAACTTTAATACATCATGTCATGCTAACTTATATAAATCTGAGTGCGCTGTATGCCCCTGAACTTATCTCAAAATTTACGGTAAATAGTAAATATTGAAAAGAATAATATAAATTTACGTACATCGCTAGGCGTAAGGGGTTATAGATATTTACATATACACGGGCCAGACAGAGCTCGGACGGAATAGACAATACTAGCAGAAGTCTATCTTGAGTCAGTAATGAATGAAAATTATCTTGAATGGAAATTTCAAATTTTCGTAATGGCTAATTTCCTTCACGACATTTTGGCGACATTATTGGCGATATAAAATTGCGGCGCGCAAATTGTAAAATTGGTAATAATCAGTTTATTAAATATCACTCACCTGCAAATTCTGCAAACAAGAATTTGTCCCACTGTTTGAAAGGGGGAAAGCATTGTTTTACAAAATATAACGATATTGAATGGAGCTATATGTGGTGGAATTGCAGATTGCCTTAAAACCCCTTAAAACCTTACCCTGGAATTGTTGAAATTTCGTCAAATATCAAAACATGATGGCTGATGACAGCATGTTGTCAGCAGCTCACAGCTGGTATGTTGATATACAAAATATTAATAATTGACCAAAAGGCTGGCACCATAGAATAGGAAATAGAAGGGCAACTCGAGTGTGAAATTTTAAATTTTGCATGTTGACTTTGATCACCAGTATTCTGGGCAGTATTAAAACACTAAACTGTCATCAAATTGAGAGGTTATGCATGCCTTGCCCACTACTATATGTTGCCTTCATTTCCTATTCTATGATGGTACTAATTATAAATTCTACTAAATTGTACTAAGTGGCGGCAGCTGATTATTTACTGCTCAGGGGGCTCGATGAGGAACTCTGCAGAAAATTTAAATGGAATTCTCAAAGCCCCCCCCTTTCCGTCCCCACACCTAAGCAAAAAAAAATTCTGAGACCCTCTCCAAACTGTTAGTGAAGCATTTCATTCCTACAGTCAAACCGGGTGTTCTCTTGCGTGCAACATTGCAATATTTTGTCTCGCAATATTGCAATTTTGATAAGCAGGTTGCATGATCTGAGAAATTGCTGTGCTGAGTGGTAATATATTACAACCTGAAATAAACAAGCAGAAACTCAATGTTTGGAGCGAAGGCCCTTGCTTAGTTACTACTAGGGCCCTTGCTTGAAACATCCAGTTTCTGCTTGTTTATTTTAGGTAGTAATATGACTACTCAGCACAGCAATTTCACATTGGTACTACCCACACTAGTACAGACAGTTTTAGGTTGCTCTGAGCAATTTGCAACCGACGCAAAAAAATTGCAAGTTGAAATTCACAAAAGATTTGTAAACAAAGCCTCTGATTGGATTATAAGAAAGATGGAAGCCAAACAAATAGTCCGAGCAACTGGATTGGTGCTTGCAATTTGTTTATGTCATTTGCAAATTCCTCAGAGCAATCTGCCTATCAAAATTGCAATATAGAACAGCAATGTATGCTATAAATATTTTTATTATTTTATTATTATTAATATTGCAATGTTGCTTGCAAGAGAACATCCAGTTTTACTGTAACATTTTTAAAAACATATCACACAGAGGCTTCAGTGTGATCATAGTCTCTCAAGATATGATAGTTGGGAATCCTGGCAAACTTCAAAGCCAGAAATTAAAAAAAGAAGACCTTTGTTTGATGATGAACTGTACCTAGCTCACCGTGCACAAATCCTTTGTCTCAACTTCATGAAATATTATTATTCATCATGGTTTGAATGATAGCATTCTCCCTCATGAGTAAAATTGTCTGGCGTTAGACAGAGTAGAATAATAAAGTAGGGTGCATCTGGGTGCATTGCCATTTAAGGGGTCTTGATTATTAGCCACTGTATTGCATGTAAGCACCACCTATAAATTCAAGTTTCACTCTCTTTTATGCTAATACCTACATAAACTGATTCATTTGCAAATAATTAGAGCTGCAATGATGTTTCATGTATACTATACAACATCAGTAGCATAATTTGAACATTGACATTTTAAATATTCATTAATGGCTAGTGAACTGATTGCCAAAAGATGTAAAAATATCTTAAAAATCAGCTGCCCAAAGATAAAAAATCTTAACTGCTTAGAAGTCTGCCCCCGACTGTGTTATGTTATATAATATTTAGTGTCCCTAACCTATACTGCCTGAATGTGTTTGTTAAGTTATACAGTATATGCGTTCCTTAACCTGTACAGACTGTGCCAGCTAGTTTGCATTTCCCTGACTGTCATATTTTATCATACTGTACAGTAGTTTTCAAACACAACACACAAATAGTGCGAGGCCAACGCTTTTATGGTTGGACTCAACACAACTTTTTTGTATTTTATTAATATAAATAGCAATTTGTAAAACTTATTTAGTTATTTATACAGGAAATAGTGCTACACAATATGATTCCATATAACAAGAACAAAACAAATCCTGTTTTTGCATCATGTTTACCCCATGGTTAAGTCAAAGCCTGAATATAGGTTGAGTTGGGTAAACCAATTAATAAATAGGATTAGCTGAAATAAATCAACCAGATGATCAGATTGTGAACATCATGCATTGTTGCAATATACACATAAATATTGGTTTCGATTAAGAAACATACTTTGACTTTGAGTCAATTAAAAATAATCTAATCCATTCTCTAATTCTACTTCTTATTGTTATTGTAATTGGGTGAAAGTTTTAAATAATAAAATAAAAAAATAATTAAATAATGTAATGGCTATTGGCTAACAACTGAGTCTTGATTATTAGCTTTAGTACCATTTTGTAAACACCACCAATAAATATTGGCAATTAAAGTTTTTAAAGTTGCACCTTTCTTTCATGCCGATATAGCCTGATATACTGATTCATTTGCAAATAATTAGATTTGGAGCAATGATGTTGCATGTATACTGTACAACATCGGTAGCATAATTATGAAAATTGATCTTTAAGTATTTACCACTGAATGGCTAGTGAACTGATTGCCGAAATATTATGAATCTTAACAACTAGCTGCCCAAAGATGAAAAATCTTAACAGCTTAGAAGTCCACACCAGACTGTGTTTTGTTAGTTATATATACTGAACTGTATTTAGCACAGAATAGCTAATGAACTGATTGCCAAAAGACATCAAATCTTAACAACCAGCTGCCCAAAGATGAACAATCTTAACAGCTTAGAAGTTCATGCCAGACTGTGATTTTTAAGTTACATGTATTTATCAATTAATGTTTAAAATTCCATATATGCTGATATACTGATTAATTTATAATTAATCAGAGCAATGATGTTGCATAATTATATACTGTAGAACGTCACCAGAATATATGCATGACATCTTAAGAACTGTACTATCTATTATCAAATATTAGATAATGAACTGATTGCCGAAACATAGAATCTTTACGATCAGCCGCAAAGATGAAAAATTTTGACAGTTTACTGTAGAAGAAGTTCATGCTGGACTATATGTTTTTTCAAGTTAAAAATGTTTAAACTACTGTAAGTTGAATATAATTATGCTGATTGATTAAGTTGCAATTGCAGGAACAATGCTGAGTATATACTGAGAAATACTGCAGCAGTCCTATGAACATTGGAAATATAAAATATAAAATACTTTACTGCAGAATTGCAATACCACAAATAAACCTGCACAAACAATACCATTTTGTAAACACCACCTATAAATATTGGCAATTAAAGTTTTAAAGTTGCACCTTTCTTTCATGCTGATAGCCTGATATACTGATTCATTTGCAAATAATTAGATTTGGAGCAATGATGTTGCATGTATACTGTATAACATCGGTAGGATAATTATGAACATTGAACTTTAAGTATTTACCACTGAATGGCTAGTGAACTGATTGCCGAAAGATTATGAATCTTAACAACCAGCTGCCCAAAGATGAAAAATCTTAACAGCTTAGAAGTCCACACCAGACTGTGTTTTGTTAGTTATATATACTGAACTGTATTTAGCACAGAATAGCTAGTGAACTGATTGCCAAAAGACATCAAATCTTAACAACCAGCTGCCCAAAGATGAACAATCTTAACAGCTTAGAAGTTCATGCCAGACTGTGATTTTTAAGTTACATGTACTATTTAACAATTAATGTTTAAAATTCCATATATGCTGATATACTGATTAATTTATAATTAATCAGAGCGACGATGTTGCATAATTATATGCTGTAGAACGTCACCAGAATATGCATGACATCTTAAGAACTGTATCTATTATCAAAGATTAGATGGTGAACTGATTGCCGAAACATAGAATCTTTACGATCAGCCGCCAAAGATGAAAAATTTTGACAGTTTAGAAGTTCATGCTGGACTATATGTTTTTTCCAGTTAAAAATGTTTAAACTATTATAAGTTGAATATAATTATGCTGATTGATTAAGTTGCAATTGCAGGAACAATGCTGAGTATACTGAAAAATACTGCAGCAGTCCTATGAACATTGGAAATATAAAATACTCTACTGCAGAATTGCAATACCACAAATATACCTGCACAAATGATACCACAAATAAACCTGCACAAACAATATAAGCAAATGGAAGAAAATATGCATAGCATTCACCACTTATATGACTCGTGTGCTATAATTCCATAATATAAAAATAGTGTTGGTTATATTATACCGTGGAACATTGTAATATAGGAATGGTTGCTAGCTGAAAGATGACATTCTGGTAAAAGAACTGTTTCACAAGCTTAACTATACATTATCCACTGAAAAATGTTATTTTATTAGTATGATTAATTGATTAATTAAAAACCTGTCTTATTTGTTTTTGACCATTAAGGTTGCAAGATTGGCTAATTTCCCAGAAGACTTGGTCTTAAAAATGGTGAAGGAGAAGAAGATTCCTAATTTCCTATCTCCTCACCAATAATCTTAATTATTTTACCTACGGGAAAGACATCATTGGCTTTAGTAACTG